CCTTATGTAACTGCATATTTATTTCTTATTCCATGCAAAGTGAACAGCCATATGCATGGCTTGAAGTTTTGCCCATTGGGAGGACTTCCCTTCACCACTGTCCTTTAAGGAAGTCCCAGAAAGGATTTGCAACTTACTTGTGCCTTCAGGTCCTGCTCGAGCCCAATCTCTGATATATCACTTCCATTTAATGATGGAGTGTTGCTGTGCACGTCCAACTTTATGACTCTGTGGGTCAGACAACACCCAATTCATGACAGGCAGCTCAGGCCTCATGGTGACTTGGTGGCCCATGGTTAGGCGTTCAGTCTCTACTAAAGCTCAATAATAAGCTAAAAGCTGTTTCTTAAAAGGAGAGCAGTTATCTGCAGAGGATGGCAGGGCTTTGCTCCAAAATCCCAAGGGCTGCATTGCAATTCACCAATAGGGACCTGCCAAAGACTCTGAACAGCATCTCTATCTACTACAGACACTTCAAGCACCACTGGATCAGCTGGATCATATTGCCCAAGTGGCAGAGCAGCCTGCGCGGCAGCTTGAACCTGTCACAAAGCCCTCTGTTGTTTTGGACCCCACTCTCGGTACCAAATGTGTTAGATTGGGTTCTCTAGAGAAACAAAACCAGTAAAGCTTACATAGAGAGAGAAAGAGAAATTTATCTTAGGAAAATGGCTCACACACTTATAGAAGCTGACAAGTCCAAAGTTCTTGGATCAGTGTCACGCTGGAGGCTTTTCCCAACTCTTGCAGCTGCAGGAGCTGAGAAGCTCAAGATTGGCAGGCAGTGTACCGGCTATTGACTTCAACGAATGATGAATCCAAGATCTCCAGGCCGAATGGTGGATTGTTTGCTCATCAACAATTGTAGGCAGCACAACAGAATCTCAATCCACAGAAGTGTGTCTCTTTGCCCAGGATGTCCATAAATATACTAGAAGCAGGCCACACCCCTAGGGAAACTCCCTTTCAACAGATTGGCTGCTTAAAACATATTCATCTGATCCTATCATGGGAATAACCACATCACAACTGCTTATACTACACAGAATTGTGGTCCAGCCAAGTGTAGACACACAGCTCCAACTATCACAGTAGGCTAGTGATGAGGAGGATGGAGACATAGGAGGGTGAGGACTGGATCCATTTCCATTCTTTGGGGACTGGATCCATGCTGACCCTTACCATGCAGTTAGAAATGAAAGTAGGACTTATTCACTTTTCCCTTGCAGTACAACTAAACTAAGATTTCTTTTATTTACATAAAATGTTGTATAAATCCCTGGTGTACATCAATATTTTTGAGGGAGAAATTACAATAATTTTCTTAGGTTCCAATTTCCTGAATATGATTTCAAAAGAACTTCCAAATAAAGACACCATGTGCCAGGCAAGCAGGAAGTAAGCAATTACCCAGTTAAAAGGAAAAGCCAGAGGATAAAAAAGCTTAGTGTGACCTTATAAACCCATCTAGTTATTGAAAGGGACATGTTATCTTGAAAAGTGATTTTAAGGTAAATAAAATAAGTGCCTATTTACACAGTTGGTAGTATGATAAATATTTTCATACAACTGTATGAAAATAATCACATACACACACTCAATATCTGAGAAGTATTTATAAAACACTTTTGTATACAAATACTATTAAATGAAAGGAACATTTTCATGTGTCAAGATCTTATTAAACACTCACTATTATACACTGTACTTCACTAGGCATTGAAAAAAAGTTTAATTATTTATTGGGTGCTAGGTTAATGGCAGGTGCCTGGATGGCACACACATTTTGCACTCAACTACTAACCTAAGGGTTGATGGTTCAAGTCCACCCAGTGGTGCCAAAGAAGAAAGGATTGGTGACCTGCTTCTGTAAAAAAACTGCATGCAGCAGTTCTACTCTGTAAGACATATGTTCACCATGAGTTGAGATGGACACAATTGCAATGGGCTTGGTTCTTTTGGTTTAGATTAATGGCATATCCTAAATGAAAGCTATTTAATGTAGTTAGTTACCACCCTCTTCTTCAAAATGTCCTTGCCACACCAAAACTAAAATACTATATGATGATTCCTCTGACCTTTGCTTTATGTTGCAAACAGTGAAAGGAATAAAAAACTTGCCATTGTTATCTTTGTATTTAGAACTGCACAAGAGTTTTAAGGCATGAAATAAGCTAATTAGACTCACGATAAGAATCAACTTTAAAATAGTAGTGGCACCATTTACACACCCATTTTATCCCCAACATTCGCTCCTAAACACTTAGCATAATAGAGTGGCTTCAATCACTTTCTCAAACAGGTGGTCTAACAGTTGTTCCTAAATATGATTGGCTTTCTCATTTGGAGATTTTGACATCTTAAACCAACTTGGAAAAGCCATCAGCAAATCAGAAAACCACTTGTGCTCTTGAAATTCCAACTAAGCACCTTTTTTTTTAATTGCAGATTTTAAGTCTTACAGAAAGAACTCATAGACATCTATGAAAAATTATTCCTAATGAGAGTAACTCTCCTATAAAACAGTAGTTTTTTAAAACTAAGACATTCATGGCTTTACTCTATTGAAGAGGTTCATAATTTTTCTGAGGTTACCAGACCCATTTGAGAGAAGTTATGAACACTTCCTCACAGACTTCTCATATATATAAAAACTTTTTCATTGGTTTGTAGATACTCTGAAGCACAATTAACATCTAGAAATCTCAAAGCTTAAATTTGCACACATAACATCCCTGTTTCCAATGTGATAATCACCTTCTGTTATTATTAAATGAATCATATATGAAGAGTATATATAATAAATGCACACAGCTCAATAATACTAATTAAATGAATAATGTTAATATTCAAAAATAATTAAATAATGAATATGAATAGCTTTGTATGCACTATCCAGCTTAATCAATAAAATATCACCTGCATTCTTTCATGATATAAAGCACTGGTGGCTTAGTGCCTAAGGCACTTGACTGCTAACCAGAAGGTTGGTGGTTCAAACCCACCAGCCACTCCTTGGAAGGAAGGTTGGGCATCTACTTCCATAGTGATATTGCCTCGGAAACCCACGGAGGGGTTGCTATGAGTCAGATCCAACTCGATGGCACATAACAACAACAACAACAACAACATAGAACAACAACCAACACTGCAAGCACTATATATACTATGCAAAGCCCTTTTCAAATACGCATTTCATGTAATGGTAAATTTCTTAGAGTTAATGCCTTAAACATTGGCAGTTCATTATCTCAACCTTATAGCTAGTGATCATGGGAGAACAATGAGGCAGTTTGCTTCCACAAAGATTTATAGCCTTGGAAAGTCTGGGGCAGCTATACTCTAAACTATAGGGTCACTATGAGTTGGAATCAACTCAGTAACAGTGGGTTTTTTTGGTTTTCTATCTATTGATTGTCCCTTCACAGGTTGCTGGTACTTTGCAAAGATTTGATCAGAGGTGTGATCAAAGATTCTATAGAAGAATCTCATGGAATATAAAAATAGACAAACCTGTATTGACTACAGCAATACTTGTTGGTCTTTTTTCAAACACACAATTGATGGCTCACATCTAGATTATTTTCTCCAGCTTAATCATCAGACACACACATAGACAACTCAATCTCTGAGAAGGGAAACCTTCTTATTGACAGCAGAAGGATAAACTGGAGTAGTTCCTTTGGCTGTATCAAAATTTTAAATGCACATGCTTCATGATTAACAATTTTATTATCAGGAAAGTATTAGATACATTGATTTCAACATTTATGGGAAATGGTATGTGGAAAGGATGTTTATAGCCAATTATGAATTCTTCAGAGTTTCATATCTAGATTATCTACAGCCTGCTACAAAGCATAATATATATTTCTCCATTTTTTCTTGTCATATTCAGTGGCATCATTGTACTCAGATTAGATACTTCTATCAAAAATATTTCCCTCTCCTTCACTGTCTCATCAAATGACTTGTCCAACTGTTCATTCTGCCTCCACTGTATCTCCTTTATCCACTTCTATATACCCTAACACAATAGAATATTTTCAGTTCTCTGCCCCAGCCTGTTAAACACTACAATAAGATTCTTACACAATCTTTTATCTCTCTTAGTTATCTAGTCAGGCTCATATGAGCAGATAACTAAGGGAGACACTAGATTGTGTGGGAATCTAATTGGAGTGTGTCAGAATTGATCTGATGGCAATGGTTTGAGTGGTTATCTACTCGTCAAACTTAACTTTGGAAATTATAAATCATATCATGTCACTCTCCTAAAAATATGATTGATCCCCACTGCATCAGAAGAAAGTCTTTTAAAGCCCTGGCACTCAAAGCCTTTCTCCTTCTGACCTATACCTTCTAACTACTTAGTGCTCGGTCTGACCCCATTCCCCAATGACAGTGGACTATTTCTTATGTTTTATCATTGCATGTACTGAAAATCCTAACTGCAATGCCCTTTCCATCTATTTCTACTTATCTAAATTCTACTCACTCTTCAAAGCTCAATGCAAACATGACCTTCTCTTTGATACCTTTCAACACTCTAATTAACTATATGCCTTCTAGGTTTTGAAAACACTTTTATCCTCTCTTACATTTATTTCATTCAGCTATGTACTATAGATCTATATGTTATGTAACAATCTATATATTATAAATTGTCACATTTTGATCAGGGATAATTTTAAAATTATTTTTGTATTTTCTTCATGAACACAAGTGTTTTATACATGGCAGATATTCAATTTGTATTTATAAAAATGAATTAATAACAGCTCATAATTTTCATGTTTTCTAAGATCCAGACACATTTATAAAATATTTTCTGAACTCTTAAATAAAATAAATGTGAATTTCTTAGAATATATGATTATGTTAAAATAAATTATTTTTTTTAGGTGGTTGAGGTGGGGTGGTCCACTTTCTTTCCTTTCCCTACCCCTAACAAAGAAACAAAAGCAAAATCCAACAACAACAAAAAACTTAATAGTTACCTTTTCAACATCTGAGAGAGACGTTAGTGATTGATTTTGCAGAACCTCTGGTGCAGTGAATGCTCGAAGATCTTGATTGGAGATATTTTCATCTGTGAATGACACACTACCAGATGGCAGCAACAGCAGAGACCACGGGGAAATAATGAAGCCAAGGGCAGCAGGATCAGCTATGCTCACTAGTTTGTAATCATATAAAATAAAAAGAGAAAAAAAAATGTTTAAAATTATGATCAGAGGAATTAGAGATCACTTGAATATGTATTCCATCCTACTCATATGGATCATAATATGCAGTTATTTATACTGAATCAACCTGCTAGAAAAGGAAAGTGGGTTTCATATATCTACTACTGCTAGTATTATTAACAACAATGCCTTGAGTTGTCTTAATCTTTCAAATCCTGGATCACAGATCTTATAAACTAGAAATAGAGAATTTTTAATGTCAGTCATAAGAATTAAACTTGGATCAAGTGTTTTATCACAGTGATATATAGATATGGATAAGGATCAGACTTTTCTTGGATCATGGATTCCTTTGAGAAATTGGTGAAAGCTATGGTCCCTCTTAAGGAGTTCTGGTGGTACAGTGGTTAAAGCACTCAGCAGCTGACCAAAAGGTTGGCAGTTTGAACCCACAGCCGTCCACAGAAGAAAGATGAGGCAGTCTGCTTTTATAAAGATTTAAGGCCTTAGAAACTCTTTAAAAACTAAAAAAAAAAAAAAAAAATTCACTGCCATCCAGTCAGAGCTAACTCATAGCAACTCGTCCTTGGGTTTCCAAGGCAGTATTACTACGGAAATAGATTGCCCAATCTTCCTTCTGAGTTGTGGCTGGTGAATTTAAACCACCAGCCTTCTGGTTAGCAGTGGAATGCCTTAGGCACTATGCCATCAGAGGCAGTTCTATTCTGTCCTATAGGGTCGCTATGAGTCAGAATCAACTCGATGGCAGTGGGTTTCTTATTTTTTGTTTATGGTCCTTCTTTCAAGGAAGATGACCATGAATATAAAACTACATAAAAATGCAGGGATTCATGAGATCATTTATGGATCCCAGGTTAAGATTCCTTAATTTAGACTGTAGTGTTCTGAACTGTTAGACACTAACTCCTACAATAACTCATTACAATTGGAATTAAGTAAGGTTTCTAGTTATAATAAAAAATTATCTTTTTTTTTTTTGCTCCAAAATATTGAGTATTATCTGAATTTGAATTCTGTCTTGATTGCATTTGTTCATTCTTTCACTAGAATTTCAGGCATCTTGGTCTGTGCTAATAAATATGATTACAGGGGTCTGCAATTTTTTGTTTTAATATTTGCCCATTATGTGTGCCTAGGACCTTATGTTTAAGAGTTGAAAAAATAAAACATTTCTCAAAAGTAAAACTACACATTATGCTCACCAAGATAGGCATAATCAAAGGAATTATATTTTGTCTTCCCATATCAAAGGCAAGGTAATACAGGTTTTAAAGTATTTGGCAAGTGAATTGAGTTATTGTTACAAGAAACTGCTACAGGAAAGTCATAGAAGGCCTGTGACTGCCAATGCCATTACTATTAATTCAGTTTAGAGGGTTATAAAGGGACAGTGGTAGAATTCTTGCCTTCCCTGAGAGAGACCTGGATTCAATTTCCAGCCAACGCACCCCATGCACAGCTACAACCTGTCTGTCAGTGGAGGCGTCGGTGTTGCTATCAGGTGAAACAGATTTCAATAGAGCTTCCAGATTAAGACAGACTAGAAAAAAAAAAAAAAAGCCTGGCAATCTACTTCCAAAAAATTCAACCAGTAAGAACCCTATGGATCACACCAGTCTGATCCCACTGTACATAAGGTTGACATGCATCAGGAGCCTACGTCAGCAGGTAACAGCAACAGCAAGTTATACTGATATCCCTCCAGTTCAAATTATTAGAAATTGACACAGAAGTCCATGGAATATATTTGGAAAGATACAGTATCTATGCTCTCCTGAAAATAACTTTTATCAGAACTTAATCATACTCCCTGATTTTTTAACCTCTACCTATGGTCAAGATCATGAGAATTTGACTTACGTCAATACAAATTTTAAAAAACTATTAAAATTCATTCCTCCTTTACAGATTGAAAAGCCAAATATACCCCAGGGTTTTTATAAGTCTGAGATGTGTCTTTAATAACTGTGTCAAGGAATAAAAAAGAGTTTGAATGCAACTTTCAATCTGTGAGCACGTTTTATTTTTGCATTAAAGCTAAGTTACAGACCACTGATCCTTACACTCCTAACCAACCACACTGAGCTGCTGAAAACATGGCTCACAATTTTTATGGCAAAATACATTTCAATGAATCATCACAAGTGATAATTCTACGCATATTATTGACTTTCATAGCCACTTTTTAAGTTTTCTGGAAAAGCTTCTTCTGGACTACTGCATGAACAAACCCCACAGAATCCAGCTAGAAAAGAACCCAAACAAGGTAGAATAGTATTTTTCCTGCCAAAGGATATTATTCAAAATCTTGAGATTTCAATGTCACAGAAATTATAAAATGGTCCAAAGTTAATTCCTTTGAAATGATTAACTAAGGGGAATCAATGCTAGGAGAACAATTAGGAAGCTAACACACTGATAACTGGTATGAGATGGTGTCCTATAACCACTATGGCAGCAGTGGAAGTTGAAAGAATCTGTTGGAAAGTGAACGTACTTTAGAGGTGTAAAAGCAACAGATTTTCCTGACAGACTGAATGCAGAATGAGAGAAAGAGATGAGTCAAAATGACTCCAAGGCTTTGGCTTCAGCAATTGGTAAGACAGGAGTGTAATCAACTGCAAAAAGGACTTGCTACACCCTGTAGGTTTCTCCTACTTACCCTCTGGCCAAAGACCACACCCACCCCCTCTCTAACATGTAATGTCACTATGGTCAAGGAGTTCTGGTGGTGTACTGCCTAAGGCATTTGACTGCTAATCAAAAAGCTGACAGTTCAAACCCACCAGCCACTCATCGGAAGAAAAGCTGGACAACCTACTTCCTTAAAGATTTACCACCTCGGAAACCCAAAGGGGGTCGCTATGAGTTGGAATTGACTCGACAGTAGTGAGTTTGAGTTTTTTTGGTATGGTCACACTGAAAAGGAACTGTTAAACGTGAAAGTAATTTGTAATTGCTTGTCACTCTTAACTTCTTAAGAGATTTATTCACTTACAAGCAAAAACCAAGGTTAGCAAAACTATTATCATTCTAGCAAGAATTATTATCTGTCATTCTTGCTTCATACAGCAGGTTTTTGTTTGTTTATTTTTATTGAGTATCTACCAAACAAACTCACTGCCCTCGTGTTGGATCTGACTCATAGCGACCCATCCTTGGGTTTCTGAGGCGGTATCACTAAGGAAGTAGACTGCCCAACCATCCTTCCGAGGAGTTGCTGGTGGGTTTGAACTGCCAGCCTTCTGGTTAGCAATCAAATCCCTTAGGCACTATGCCACCAGAGCTCCCTGACTATCTACAGTACAACCATTTGCTCTATCATTTGCTAGTAAGAGTCCATAGCACCACTGGGGAGATAAAATATGTACATAAATGAGTGCAATATAAAATAGAAAGTGTAAGATATCTAAGAGATAAAAGATAATAAAAGAGAGTTTTACTGGACAACAAAATTACTTCAGCTAAGGAAAAGAGAAGAAGCTCTGGTAGCGAGTGCCTAAGGCAGTTGTCTGCTAACCAGAAGGCTGACAGTTCAAACCCACCAGCCACTCCTTGGAAGGAAGGTTGGGCAACTTATTTCCATAGTGATACTGCCTCGGAAACCCAAGGAGGGGTTGCTATGAGTCAGGTCCAACTCGACGGCACACAACAACAAAAAGGAAAAGAGAATTAAAAAAATATAGATAGATAGATAGATGCCTTTTAAGATAGGTAAGATTTGACTACAGTTAAGGAGAAGATTCCAAAGAGAGCAAACAGGCAAAGTAAAAGTATGAGGTCAAGAAATTAAGTTTATTTACGGAACAGTAAGAATTTTGGGGGGAATTCTGGTAGCGTAGTGCCTAAGGCACTTGACTGCCAACCAGAAGGCTGGTGGTTCAAACCCACCAGCCACTCCTCGGAAGGAAGATGGGGCAATCTACTTCTATAGTGATACTGCCTCGGAAACCCAAGGAGGGGTCGTTATGAGTCGGGTCCGACTCAACGGCACATAACAACAAGAATTTTGGGCAGAGGAATAGTGAAGAGCAGCGGGAAACATAGTTAGAAAGGTGGGTCAAACTTTACTTGCTATAAAAACACACAAATCACATAAATGATTTGTTTTTAAATATGATTTGTAAATGTCATGTAACAAAGCTGAAACAACTGTGACAACAATCTACACTGCTGTCAAATTCTCAAAACACACACACATGCAGTTAATTACTGAACTCTAGAGAAAACATAATCAAACCACAAGACGTATTTTTAAATAATTGTAAAAGGTGGATACAAACCTACAATTGAAGAAATTCAAAGTTGTGGCTAGAATCAGTCTTTAATTCACTTGTCTAACCAAAGTAAATGTATCCAAAATCCTTTCATGAATGCTAACAAAAAATACTTAAAAGTGAGATACCAGAGGTCTAATTTTTCATAACTGTCTTAGTTGACTAATTTCACTCAAGAATTTTACAGAAGAGTATATTTGATGTGAACTGCTTTCAGCAGTCAAATGATTCTATTTACAGAATTTCACCAACATACCATGGTAAAAGTTACTTAAGCAGAATTTCAAGAAGCTAAAGGCAGTCAGCATAAGCAGAAATCTGATATACAAAGGAAGCTTCTTTCTCTCTCTCTCTCTCTTTTTTTTAATTGTGATTTGGGTGAAGATTTACAGAGCAAATTCACTTTCCACACAGCAGTTTACATACACTTTGTCTCATGACATTGACCACAATTTACCACAATGCAACAGCTCCCCTCTCACTTCCTCCCCATAGTTACCTCTTCCCAGTGTCCTTCCCTCCATGCACTCCTGCCACTTGAGCTGTCTCCCTGTGCATGTTGTTGTTGTGGTTATATGCCATCAAGTCAGACCCGACTCACTGCAACCCCTCCTTGGGTTTCCGAGGCAGTATCACTACAGAAATAGATTGCCCCATCTTCCTTCCGAGGAGTGGCTAATGGGTTTGAACTA